GGCTCGGACTACAGGTGACCACCACAATGCCCAGCTATTTTTTGGTTGCAGTTGTCATTGTTGCTTAGCAGGCCCTGGCCGGGTTTGAATCCACCACCCTAGGTGTATGTGGCTGGCGCCCTGCCAAATGAGCTACAGACACCGCCTCCTTTGGGAGCTTTGAGCAATCCAGCTACCTTAGCCTCCTACAGTGCGAGGATTATAAGCATGAAGCACTGTGCCCAGCTAAAGCCTGGATTTTCATTCAGACAATGCTGAGGTGTTAAAAGTGTTGAACTGAGGCAAGGTCCTTATGCTGCTGCAGAAGCTGACACCCTCAGGGCACAGAGCACCAGCCCAGGGAACCCACAAGAAGGCACAAGATACAGAGAACCACAGATTCTAACCTCTTTTCATTTTCTTTTTAGTAGGCTCCAAATCCTCCTGATCTCGAGTTTCCATCAAAGAGGAAGGTGCTCCTGTTCTGTCTGGGAGAGTCAACACAAAGCCAGAGATTTCATCATTTGTCACAAGCGAACCACATCCTTTTGGGGACGTGGATGCACCCCCAGACCCTGTGAGCGGGAATAAGACACTTTCTTATTTATCCACCTCAGGAGAGAACACTTCAGGTCAAAACTGGTACAGTTTACAACCAAGATGTCACAGTCTAAGAATGGTGTACAGCTTACTAGAAATACTTGTTCACTCAACACACTGTCTTAAAAGTATCTGTGCTTATCACTTCTGCTAGGTGGAGCTGGGGGTGGGTAGCTGCAGAGATGTTTGTGACTAAGATCAACCCTTCAGTACCAAGTCGAACACAGGGCACAAGTCTAGCACATCATGCACATTATATCAAACTACTGAAACAGAGGTCTATGGGCAGCACCTGTGGCTCAGTGGGTAGGGTACCGGCCCCATATACCAAGGGTGGTAGGTTTGAACTGGGCCCTGGCCAGCTAAAACAGCAGTGGCAACTGCAACAACAACAAAAATAGCTAGGGATTGTGGCAGGCACCTGGAGTTCCAGCTACTCAGGAGGCTAAGGCAAAGAATCGCTGAAGCCCAAGAGTTGGAAGTTGCTGTGAGCTGTGATGTCACAGCAC